CTCCCTGAAAAGTTGATCGAATTCGAATTAAAAGATGATATTCGGAGTCAGTTCAGTTAGGACTATCCGACTATGTAGCTTTCGACCGAAGCTAAGATAGTGCTGCATTTTTGAATTGCGGGCACCTCACTTCAAACACAATTTTGTTTTGCATTTTAAGCAGTTAAAGAAGAATTGAAATTTTTATACCGGTGTTTGTACCATCTTCGTTCGATCTTTACGCATCTCATAAACGATTCCCATAATATCAAGCTCTATATTTGCCAGTGTATCGTCGGACTTGTCAAGGAGATGCAAAATGGTGTCAACCGCTATATAAGTTCCTGTGCGACCAACACCGGCACTGGAAAGAACTTATTTTTAACATAGCAAAAGAAGAGATAGTTCCAAATCAGTACCTGCAATGGACCACAGTAGGTGGTGCATTGATTTCTTCTCGTCTTCTATCATTCCCACATCGATTAGACTTGTTCGACTTAGAGTTGACAATGTGAATAAGATCTAATAATTGACGTTTCTCCGCGACACCAAAATCTGACCATCCCGTAAAGTAATAATGGGTTACACGCTGACTCCGATCATCCTAAAAAGGTTCACCGAGCTCATATCACCGGTAAGATGATCCGACTAGTTTTACTCACATACGTCACATTCAATTGTCTGATCTCTAATTCTGGATCTCTCTGCACACTGAGTGCTTCAACAACAATTGCACCAAACGTTTGACGCTGTTTTATCTCCATGGGAAAGTATCTATCACACTTATCCTAAATAAGAGAAGCAGCAGAAGCTTCGAACAAGCACGTATTCATACTTTTATTCATGCTTACCACTAATTGTGTTTTGTCTCTAGGTGATCGTTCTTCGAATTTTGTTAGCATAACAATATCCATCACATTAAACTGTAGAATCATCCACCAAAAATCCTCAGATGTAGTAGGCAATGGCCCTTGACATGCAATATATTGGTTTGTTGGATCACTTTTCCATCAAAATGTCCCGTCACGCTTTTATTTCGTTTTCGCTATAAAATCTGACCTATTTGCTTAGGAACTCTAAAAAAACCTCT